TTTATACTTAGAAATGTCTCTTAATAGTAAGCTACCCCGGTGGTTCAGATGGTAAAGAATCTGCCTGCAATGCAAGAGACCTATGTTCGATCCCTGGCTCAGGAAGATCCCCTGGAGAAGGAAATGGCAACCCACTCTAGTATTTTTGCCTGGAGAATCCCATGGACAGAGACTGGCAGCTACAGTCCACGGGATCGCAGTGGGACACGACTGAGCGACTCTCACTCACTCTCAGATGTTATCCGTAAGTCATCTCTACTGTAGAAACAGGTCTGCTCTCTCTGAATGAGTAAGAATCTATTTGGCTAGGGTGTTAAGTCTGTAAAGCCTAAACTTCTACATAGTTCTTGAGGCCTGACCATCTCTTTTCCTTAATTTCCCATTTCATTAGCACCACCATCAGCAAAGTCTGATACTGGAATCAATGCTGTCAATTGATACCAGTTCTAGAAAACGTGGTTAGAACAAGACATTATTTGCATTCTATGAAAGTCAAAATTTGTGACATATTCTCAACCAGGTCATTTAAAAATTTATCGTTGTATTAGCTAGAATAAAAGACCTGTTAAAACGTTAACTGAACGACAAATTTTCAAGTGAACGTTCAACCCGATGTGGTGTTTCAAGAGCTTCATAACATATAAGGCAACTCAGTGGCTATCAGAAATCATTTTCTATGAAAGGATTTTTAAGTTAACTCCTACAGAAAGATCACCTGATTCTATTAAATACCATGAAGTAATAAGGGACATATTTTTTAAATGTCAAAATCCAAACATTTTTATCATTTGGCCTAACATTCTGTTAGAGAGGTTTTATTATTACTGTGTTCACTTTAATTAGTCTTTGTTTTGCAAATGTTCTGCCAACTCTCTCCAGCCTTTGTGCTGAAGGCTTTAGGATATTAGCAACACTGACTGTCTCCCCTATCACCATTTCACTCTTCCTGTTTTACTAAAACTCGGTCCCTACCTCCAGTCTCTGCCCAGTTTATGGGACATCCAGAAATTATCTAGTTAGCCCTATACTAATTACAGGTCAAACTCTGCATCTGATTATTAAATAGACCACAAGGCAGATCTTGTGAACGAAATTTTTATTTACACATTGTATCTAGAAGCAGATACATAAATTCTTTATACGATTAATCTCCAAAAATGTGCAAGAAATTACTATAGTTTGTTTACAAACCAAAACACGTATTAAAATCAATGGACTTTGGATAATTCATTCTGTGGTGTTCTCAGTACAAATGGTACACACCTGATTCGAAACATACAGAAAAAGTGTAAACTACAGCAATCTGGATTGCAAGTATTAATTCCATGGCACTCTGACAACTATAAAATCTCTTTAACCCAACATGTATACTTATTACAAAATTCTATAAGAATTTTTCATCATCTCTGGAAGTAGAGGTTGGATCACTTTTCAGAAACAGCAACTACACATTCGCCATGTTATGACTGATTAATAAAAAGGATGTTTATAAAAAATCTTCTTTACAGGATTAAAAAAGTATTAAAAGAAACCGAATTTGTGATTACTAGCGTACCAATACTTTGTTTTAGAATTTTAAAGTTATTTATGGAACTGGCAAGTGTTCCTTATTAGAGTTTTCAACGAAACTGTCTATTGCTGGTAGTGTGATTTCAAATTAAGACTTCACATTGGATGAAAAGCCATGAAGATTTAAAACGGATTATTTTGAATCATTCATAAAGCAAATCTCTCTCATATACAATGTGAACTGTACAATGATCAAAATTGGCATTCTGAAAGCATTGTTAAGAAAGAGATTCAGACTGGTAGCACTAGCAGGGACACTGAATATAACCTACTGAAGATTTCAGTCAATTTTATCCTGTTTTAGCAATACTGGCTCAGAAATTATCATGTATATTGTACTTGGGTTTTATTTCCTATATTCCAATGGTTTAGCCTTTTGGCACGATTTCTTTTAACAGCAAGATGGTTGCCCTGTGTAGCTGGTTTCCTTAAAAACTATTTTAAATTCTATGATCGTTTCCTGTGACACTTTTGACCTTCTAAAATTTTCAAATTATTGCACCAAAATGGGGCACAGTTTTCCTTAGAAAGAGAAAGGAGACTTTTTCAAGTACTTTCTATGCTTTCTTATTATTTGTTTAAAAAAAATGCACAATAGTGTCCTAGTAAGCCTGGAAATAGCTTCTGGCTTCCATCATGTTTCTGGGATGAGATATTTGATAAAAAGCAACTCTGATTCATTTCGTACGACAGAAGGATACAGCTTTCCTGTGTTTCTCTTGCCTTGAGCTCAGATTTTCAGAAGCAAACATTTAAGAAATCACTTATAAGCAGCACCCATGTCATCTAAGCCACCATTCAACGGAATCCAGAAATTCACCCAAATGCTACCTGCACAAAAACTACAGGAAGAAGACTTCTCTTTTTCCCCTTTCCATTTTTAACCAGACCATTTTACTAGCCTATAAAGCCAATTGTGCACATTATGTTGTGCTGCCTCAGCCAAATGGTTCTCTCTAAACAAAAGCAAAAAAAAATTGCAATATTCCTTTCTGTTTGTAAATGATTTCTTGGCAAACACTTTTATTTTTATTGATACACTATCAGACCCTAGCAATCTGAAATTGGATTAGAATAGGGCATTTTACTTAAAGGTATTTTATATTATGAACATACAAAAGTATACTACGAATTGGCTTTCTGAATTAGAACAGTATCAAGACTTGCCCTCCATAAAAACATAAAATACAATTTTTAAGACATTTATATGGAAATCAGGATGATCTTAACTTGAAACCAAATGGCTCGATCTTAAACACATGGTTATCATGAGGAAGGCGTGGGGAACAGGCTATGCCCACACAAGACGGGGTTCAGGGCAGTCCAAAGACCTCTGTGCACCACGGTCTCACAAAGAGTACATGTCAATGCTTCTAGAAACACGGAGAAGCCATCTCAACACTTATTATTAACACACAGTGACTCTGTGACAATGCCTGCCATCTAATATAGATGCACAGGGACTTTTAACTCACCCTAGATATACTTTAAATTGTTTAAAAATAAATAGTTTTGCAAAAAAATAGTTTAAATGTCTTGCATTAATTTGATAACAAGTTTACAACTCTGTAATAGTTCTTAATCCAAATAGCTTATAATGAACACTTAAATTATATTATTACAGTATACTCCATATTCCATCTTATTAGGTGAAAACATATCAGAAAATGAATGAGGAGTCTTTGCAACAAGGTACAATCAAACATTCCACCAAAATTAAGTACCTTTTCCCCTTTAAGTCAAAATACCATAACACAGGTATTAATACACTGGGCCTTTTCTTGGTAATCCTCAGTTGACTCTTAAAAAAAAAAAAAAAAAATGGGGATACTGATATGTCTGAATGACAAAGTTATTAAATTTGACCTAAGACCTTTACTCTTTTTTTTTTTTTTAATGGGGATAAGAGATAGGAAAAGGAAGAAATGTCTTAAATTACATGTTTCATTGGAAGGGGAAACATTTCCTTTAAAATTATGTAGCTAGAAACATCTTCCGGATGGAACAATTTCAAAATACTAAAGAATCTGCAGTGAATAGGCACTGCATTTCAAAATAACTAAAAAGTACTGGCTATGACATACTACCCCCACCCCACAAAGGGCTGAATCAAAAGAGATGAAAAAACTAACGATGCTAATTTACTTAAGACTTAGCTAAATTAAAAACAGAAACCCTATTGATAAATGGCAGTATATATGGTAGGTAAATGCACACACCTGACTCGGTGTTAACATTTTTGTTACACAGTGCACCACAATTTCCACAATTTTTCAACTAAAGTCACTGGGATTTTTTGGTTTTGTTGCTTTTGTTTTTTTGGTGGGGGAAGGAAGTGTTAAATCTAGCACATTTTAATGGTGACTACATTAAAGAAAAATATAAACCCAACTTTTAAACATTTTCTTTCTGTTCAGATCAATTTAAAACTTTATATAGACTTTAACGTTGCAAAAGGATCTACTCCATTTATGAAAAGCATTTCAACATCAAGTTCACCCAAGAAAATGTTGTCTAAGCTAAAGAAATCACAGATAAAACATTTTACCAGAGGAAAGTATAGATAACAAAAAATTGCTTATCACAGGAAACTAAGATCATCTAATAATTTCTTTAATAGTTCTAGTTCCATAGGTCTTTATACGTTATGCCAATTTGTACCAGAGTTTAATGACAGAAAAGGCAACAATTTTTAAATTGGTGGTATACATTTCTTTACAACTTTTTAATGTAAGGCCATTTATTAAAAACAGACGAACCACAAGATGAAAATGAAGGCAACAGAAAAATCCAACTTGTAAGAACCAACAGACAGCACAACCTCAAACATAATTTAGAAACGAATGTGGCAGAAAGATATGTCGCAGACCTGCATTCTACTACCCAAGGTTATGTCAGTTCACAATTCTGAATAAACCTTTGTAGAGCATGAAATTAAAAATCATTTTCGGTGTAGGTGTAAACTCTTGCGATTAATCACACGGCTGTGCTGACTCAACACTATCTTTGAAGATGGGCCATTGAAAGAGAGACATAACAGGTTCATTCTGCAAGTTTCATTCAACTTTACTCAGGATTGGATACACATGAAATGTGCTTTTAATGCATAAAATCACAGTGGATAGCAGCAAAGGACTGGGGGTGGGTGGGTAAGGAGAATCTGATCATTCACATTGTGATTATTCTGCGCGCTGATGGAAGAGACATCACACCTCCTCAAACCTCCAGACTTCCCTTTGTAAAGAACGAAAATGAACCCAAGACACCTCGCGGACGGTTCCCCACCCCTAAACGGACTGGACACTCTTTTACACATAAAACTGAAATAAAGAGTATGGCAGCAAAAGATTCTGATGGCGATGAAGAGTCTGTAAACTGTATCTCAGTCTCTCTCTCACTCCCAAAGTGCACGATGCCGGGCTGCGGTCCTGTCAGTAGTGCTTCTCCTGTAGGTAATCCTTCATTTTGTTGGGCAGGGGCAGCTTCTGGATCAGGTCTATCCGGGTGTACTGGCGGATGACGAAGCGGCACAGGTACTGCAGCGAGCGCACCTGCATGAAGCGCGACACCGGGTTGGTGAGCCGCACGGGGTAGGTGGCGGAGCCCGGCAGGCGCGAGCGCGAGTAGCAGAAGGCGCCGTTCTCCGAGTCCCTGATGGAGTGCTCGATGAGGTCCACGATGGACGTGTGCCCCTCCACGTCCGGCTGCTCGTAGAAGCTGAACCGGCCGTTCGAGTGCTCGATCCGGGTGTGCAGGGTCTTGCCGTGCGAACGGAAGCTCAGGCTGAGCAGGTAGCGGTCGTCCGAGCTGTCCCGCACCAGGAAGGAGCCGTCGGGCACGTTGGCCAGCTTGCCCTCCGCCTCCCAGCGCGTGATGGGGCCCCAGTACCAGCCCTGCCGGGCCAGCTTCTTGAGCTCCTCCGTCAGGCTGGTCACCGCCAGGGGCCCGCTGCTCTGCACCGAGTCGTACACCCTGGCGACCCCGGGCGCCGAGGTGGGGTCGAAATTCAAGTGGCAGCGCACGGTGTCGGCCGCGTGGGCGTCCGGGCCGGCCAGCCCGGAGAAGGTCCTTTGGCTCGCGTCGGTCTGCAGCGGAGGTAGCAGCGGGGAGAGGGGGGGCCCGTCGTCGGGGCCCGCCCGCGGGCTCGGCAGCACCCCCGCCGCGGGGCCCGCCAGCAGGCCGCCCGCCGGCGGGTCGCCGAAGAGCTCGGGCGCCTGGCGCCCGGCGTCCTCGTCGCGGCGGGCGGGGCAGGGGCCCCCGGCGGCCGGGGGCGGCGGGACGGCCGAGACCTCCATCGGGGAGGAGCCGTCCAAAGGCACGGTGTACGGGAGGTAGTCCTGAGGCAGCAGGCCCAGGACCACAGGCACGTGCTCGCCCAGGCGCAGGCGCAGGTCCCCGGCCGCGGGCGCCGGGCTCCCGGGCGCGGTGGGCGGCTCCGGGCACGGGCAGGCGGGCTCGGCCGCCGGGCGGAGCTCGCCGAAGTCCTTGCGCACGCCGTTGAGGGCCGGGCCGGCGCCGGGCGAGTGCACCAGCGCCTTGACCCGCACCTCCATCCGGATGCACGTCTCCTCCGAGGCGGTCGGCCGCAGCGGCCAGGGCGTGGGGCTGTAGTGGTGGCTGCGCAGCGACGTGGACCGCATGGGCCGCGGCGCCCGCGCGTCCTTGAACACCAGCGGCGCCGACGAGGAGGAGAACGTGTCCTCGTCCGCCGCACCCCCCGCCGCCGCGCCGCCCTTGCCCTTGGCCTTCTGCTTGGCGCTCAGCCGCCTCTTGAGCGTGCCCATGAGGCTCTCGCTCTTGGCCCGGTTCTTGCCGCCGCCGCCCTTTTCGTCCTCGCTGTGCAGCTCGCAGCCGGCCATCTCCTTCCCGTAGCAGCTCCCGAACAAGGACTCGTCTTTGCCGAAGTCACCGGCTAGTGCTGGCTGTTGTACCACCATGAATTCCGCGTCTTCTTTGCTCTTACTCAAGTTGAAAGATTTCCGGAAGGTCTTAAGGCTGATCTTCTTCATTCTGACGAGCTACCTGATCCGAGGGCTCAATTTCTCTCGGGGAGATTATCCGCGAACATCTGGGCAGGCTGCAGGCGAGGCTGCATCCATGCGTTTTTCTAGCTTCATTTCCCCTCTGGAGTCACTGTCTAAAATTAAAAAAAAAAAATTTAAAAGGTCACATTAAATAACGTCTCCACAGCAAGTCTTGGTTTTAATTCTTCAGCTTCTGAACAAGCATGCCTGAGTATAAAAAGACTGCAGCAGATTTTTTTCCCATTTCACACAGCACAGTAGATCGCTGCATAGTTGACCAACATTTGATACTACTTCAGGAACAAACCCTAATCTACCTTCTGTCCCTGCACCCCTCCTTTGGTTTAACCCTAATTATGGTCCATGTGCCTGTCCTTCCAAGCACTGAGTCAGTCGCCCTTTTCACACTGACCCACGCCAGTCCTGCCGCTCCAGCCTCCAGCCTGCCCTGCAGACAGCCAGCACTCAGCAAAGGAGGCACCACATCCGTAACAGGCCCAACCGATTCTTCAACAACCTACATGTATTTTTAAATGTTTAAACAGCTGTAAAAATGAATTAAAGGAAATCCATAATCTGTGACAAATTATCTGGGGAAAGCCTAGACATGTCCTCCATAGCCAGGAGTCTACTGAGAACAGCCTGTCCACCTGCACGATCCCAGAGCCCGCCCAGCCCAGACCTCCCGAGACAGGTGCTTTCCCCTGCAGGGGACACCCGTAACAAGAGGTACAGTTCTTCACAGTAGGAGAAACTGCGTTATTTGTCTTAACAGGCAGAAAATAATGATGTGAAGACTAATAAAAACCTCCGCGTGTTAAGTGGTCATTTTCTGGCTCACTAGCAATGAATCCAATTTTGTCCACCAAAAAAATCGCCATCAATTTACAGAGATTAAGAAAACTTAATTACCAATATCCATAAAACTGGAGGCAGTGAATACAAGAGAAAACAAACATGCTTAGCCCCCACAACAGGGATGCTGTAAAGAAAGTACCATTTATAATAAGAACTGAAAATCAGCAAATTCTTGATAAACTAGATCAATGGCTCAGTATCCAAAACGGATTATGTCTTGTGTGTCTGGAGTGTTACCCCAATATCTCCCAAACCCAAGCAGGTAAACCTGTTGTACTTAAAAACTTGACCTAGTGGGTCAGGCCCCATTGGCTTTCTATGAATGGTATAAAATGTTAGTTCAGCTCTCTATTATTTAAAAAAAAAAAAGGCAAACCAAAACTATAATGAGGTACCAGCTCACATCCCTCAGAATGGCTGTCATTAAAACCTCTACAAATAACAGGTGCTAGAGAGGATGTGAAGAAAAGGGAACCCTCTCCTACACCGCTGATGGGAATGCAAGTTGGTACAGCCACTATGGAAAAGAGTATGGAGGTTCCTTAGAAAACTAAAATCAGAATTACCATATGATCCAGCAATCCCACTCCTGGGCATATATCCAGAGAAAACTCTAATTCAAAAAGATACATGCACCCCTATGTTTATAGCAGCACTATTCACAACAGCCAAGACATAAAAACAACTTAAATGTTCATCAATAGATGAATGGATGAAGAAGCTGTGGTTCATACACACAATGGAATACTACTCAGCCGTTAAAAAAAACAAAGTAATACCATTTGTGGCAACATGGATGCAACTGGAGATTATCATACTAAGTGAAGTAAATCAGAAAGAGAAAGACAAATACTGTCTGATATCACGCATATGTGCAATCTAAAATATGACACAAATGAACCTATCTGTGAAACAGACTCATGGACACAGAGAACAGACCTGTGGTTGCCAAGGAGGATGGAGAGTGGGGAGGGACGGACTGGGAGGCTGGAGTTTGCAGAAGTAAACCATTACATACATAACGGATAAACAAGGCCCTACTGTGTAGCATAGAGCACAGGGAACCAGTCAATATCTTCTGCCAAACCCTAATGGAAAACTGCCTCATCTGAAAAACAGATGAACATTTCTGAATAAAATGCAAGATGTTAAAATGTTAAAACAATCGCCTGGAGTCATTTGGAGCACTCAGGGAGGGCTATCCAAGCTTCCCCAGCACTCCCTGTAGCCTCTAAAATTTTCTAACAATGGATGGGCAGGAAGAGCTCAAGTTCAACACATAAGCACTGGAGAGACTCAAACGTGAGTCAATTGCTAACATCTAACTTCCATTTGCAAGTAATTCTTCATAAGGTCCCAATTTTGTGACATAATTTTAGGGACAGCCTCAGTTCTGGCAGGCAACAGCTGCAGTTGCAAATCCTTCTAGGGCCACCAGTTGCGGCTATACTGACCATTAGAAACGTGTGTGTGCAGACACAGTTAATGCAGCGAGGAACACAGACAGACGTGTGCCAGGGATGGAGGGAAAACCTCTGTGGCACGTGCCACATACTGTAAGTCCAAGCTTCAGAGATGCATAAGGAGGTTAAGTCCTGAAAAGCAAGTCCAGAAGATGAAGAAAGATCCAGAACACGATGCGGAAAGGAGGCCTGACTAGGAGAGATTCCGCTCTGGTCTCCCTCAAACCCTGCCTGCCCGGCTGCAGAAGACCTGAAAGAGCTTCTGGGCTCCCTCAGTGCAGGACACAGGGGCCTGAGGCTCCCATCCTCACCCCGTTCCTCCTGGTGCTCAGAACACTATAAACTCGCTGCCATCGAGGGCCTGGGTGCTGGCTGCAACATTATACAACCCCCCACCCCAGCTTCGGTCAAGTCTTCCCAACGGTCACCTTTTCGATGAGACCAGCCCTGATCATGCCATTCAGGCTGCACCACAAACCCTCTTACAGAAAGACACTTCGGTTGTCCTGGGTAACAGGCTCTCCGTCGCTCCCCTCCTCTTCCACTCACTGACGTGTCCCAGGCATCCAGGACCGTGGAAGGGGCCCAGGAGTTGCGGTGATCGGACACCCCGCCCACCTCCACTTCCCTCACACCTCACCTCAAGAGGTAATTCATCATCATAGGGAAAGGTTACACAGCTCCTTAACATGGTCAATAAAGTTCTACACGGTGTGGCTGTCCTTGGTGATTTCTGCTCCACTCATATTCATCACATTCTCCTTCAACACAGAACTTTTTAACATACTGCTCCTTGGACCTGAACTGCTCCTGTATTCCTTCTCCTCTCTGACTAATTCCTTTGAACTTCAGCTCACCTGTCAATTCCTCAGGGAACATAAACTGCTCTTCCTGATTAGGTGAAATCCTCCAATTAGGGGATCTGAGGACACTGCACACCTCTCCAGCTTCGAATTTCGATCTGGGATGTATGCTTACATCTATCTGTGTGATTACGTGATTAATACCTATGACTCCAGAAGGTTATAATTGACACAAAAGCAGAGACTAGTGTTCATTTTTTTTCTCAGCATGTTATCCCAGCACCCATCATGGATCTGGCCCAAAGAAGGCACGCCACAGATATCTGTTGAATGAACAACAAAGTAAAATGAGTGAGCGCACTCAAAGGAAAGGTCCACAGTGACAGACAACTCGATGCTGATGTATGCAGTTGCCTCAACAGCACAATCAGTATCTGACTCGGATGTGCAAGTGTCGTTTTAACTCACCCTTACTAGGTCTGGCTTCCCTCGTAGCTCAGATGGTAAAGAATCTGCCTGCAATGCAGGAGACCCGGGTCCGATCCCTGGGTCAGGAAGTTCCCCTGGAGAAGGAAATGGCAACCCACTCCAGTATCCTTGCTTGGAAAATCCCATGGACAGAAGAGCCTGGTGGGCTGCGGTCCATGGGGTCACAAAGAGTTGGGTACAACTGAGTGACAATACTAACTAACTACTAGGTCTGTGGGTCAAATGTCCCTGCTTCCCACTGTCGCATCCATCTCACAGAAAACAGGACTGGTAACTACACTAAAACTACTTGGTAACTATCCACTTGATGATAATTCCTTTTTTCAACTATAAATCCATATGCAACTTAATAATAACACTCAATAAACAAAATTCAATCCCAAACATGAGAAACTACAAAAGTTCTATCAGGCCATATGGTCTTTTATCTCTTCCTTTCCTTTCCTAGGCAAAGATTACTCTGGAATTTTTAAGAGTATCTGTTTTTCTGTTTGCACTTCCAAAAATATATGTCATCTTTTTATAGGACTACCATCTGTCTCATCATGCCTAAGTAAATGTTCTGAATTAGTTTCACTGCTTTTCTAATTGTAAAATTTTAAGTTTACACATGTATTGGCTTGGCCAAAAAGTTCACTCGGGTTTTTCCGTAAGTGCTCACAAGAAAACCCGAACAAACTTTTTGGCCAACCCAATACTTGAACATGTGCATAAAGGTTCAAGGGGAAGTTTTAGATGTGAATATGGCACCCAGGCAGAAGATAACATCTTCAAATAATTTCACAGTCTCTTTTTTAAGAAATGATGGGTGGTAGTCATGCTTGGCATTGTAACACCTAATGAAAAAAATTTAAAAGACAACATCAAAACAACTACTTAACCTTCAACGAACAAAACAGCTTTATTACTGTCAATTTTACAAGTAAGGAAACTAAGTCTCAGAGAGATAAAATTTGCCCCAATAGATTAGATAACTTGCCTCTAGGAAAAACAGCAGATCCAGACGGTAAAGCCAGCTGCTAATGCCGAAACACACACTTTCTCCTCTAACAGTCGCCCTGTTGGTCATGCTAGTGCTGAAGTCAGTGATTCCCAAACTTTCGGGTCTCGGGACCTCTTTGTCCTCTTAAAAATCACTGAAGATTACAAAATCTCTGTCTATGTAGGTTATATAGAAATCATTTCTAAAGTCAGTTGCTCTGGGAAATCTGAAAGCTTTTTTTTTTAACCCTATTACATTCAATTCCTATTAGAAATTAAAACTGAGATTTAAAAATATTAATTCATTTAAAATGATAATGTACTCATTACACGTTAACATAAACCACTTTTCAAGAAAAATAGATACGTTTTCCCAAGTTAAAATTCAGAG